AGGAGACAGGCGGCTTCCAGGAGGCTCCGCTGGCCTATGATGCCATCTGGGCGCTGGCCCTGGCCCTCAACAAGACCTCAGCGGAGCTGGTCAAGAAGGGGTTGCGCCTGGAGGACTTCAACTACAACAACAAGAACATCACCGACGAGATCTATCGGGCCCTCAACTCCTCCGCCTTTGAGGGCGTCTCGGTGAGTTGCCCACACCCGAGCCCCTGCCGGTCCCCGGCTCCAGCGTGTCCTCTTCTCCCCAACAAGGTCTCCCATGTCCCCAACTCCTCCACCTTCAAGGTGGTGGTGGAAGTGCCTTGAAGGCATCTGTCAGGGGTGCCCGGATAAGCCACCCCAAAACTCCCGGAGAAAACGTTCTCCCAACATCCCTTTGGGGACGTGGCCCTGTCACCTGACGGGTCCCCGACACCCATCTCCACTCCACCCCACAGGGACATGTTGTCTTTGACGCCAGCGGCTCCCGCATGGCCTGGACACTCATTGAGCAGCTGCAAGGTGAGTGCGCACAGGCAGTAGCTGTATCAGGGTGACGCTGTCACCAGGTCGCACGTGGTGACCACCACCGAGCATCCCGCAACACCCCTTCATGCAGAACAGCCACAGCTCAGTGTTGCGGCCATGCTGTCTGCCCAACAACAGCACACAACCGCCCCAAGACGCGCACCGCAACAAGTCCCACCACTGCACAACCTCTCAAAGGGTGGCAACGCGCAGGGGACAACCCCCCTTCTCCGCACCCTTTTGGCCACGTGTCCAACAGGACGTGCATCCTCACCAACACGCAACTGCTCTTACACGTGATGGAGGGAGGTCCAGATGTGGAAGAGGTCTGGAGGACAAGCAAGGAGCTTGGGACAAGGAAAGACAAGCAACTCATCAAGAGTAGCCAGCACGGATTCACCAAGAAGAAGTCATGCTTGACCAACTTGACCGTCTTCTACTGGCTTGGTAGACAAGGGAAGAGCAGCGGACGTTGTCTACCTCGGCTTCTGGAAGGCTTTCAACGCTGTCTCCCAGAAGATCCTCTTAGAGAAGATGATGAAGTCTGAGCCGGACGAGCAGACAGTGGGGTGGACTAAGAAGTGGCTGAACGGCCGGATCCAGAGTGGGGGTCAGTGGCAGAAGGTCCAGTTGGTGGCCAGTCACCCCCCAGGGGTCACTACTGGGTCCAGTCCTGTTCAACATCTTCATCAATGACCTGGATGATGGGGCAGAGAGTACCCTCGGCCACTTTGCTGTTGACACCAAACTGGGAGGAGCGGCTGAGATGCCAGAGGGTCATGCTGGCATCCAGAAGGACCTTGACAGGCTGGAGAAGCGGGCTGAGAGGAACCTCACGAGGTTCAAGAAGGGGAAGTGGAACAAGCCCAGGCACAAGGAGAAGCTGGGGTTCAACCAGCTTTGCAGCGAAGGCCCTGGGGGGTCCTGGTGGACACCCAAGTTGACCATGAGTCAGCGGCGTGGCAAAGGTGGCCAGCGGTGTCCTGGGCTGCATCAGGAGGAGTGCTGGAGTAGGCCAAAGAGGTGATCCTTCCTCTCTGCTCAGCACTGATGAGGCCACCCCTGGAGAGATGGGACCAGTACTGGGCTTCCCAGTCCAAGAGACCTACTGGAGAGCACCCAGTGAAGGGCCATCGGGAGTGATGAAGGGACTGAAGTACAGGAGGCTCCACCTGAACATCAGGAACCACTTTTTCATGGTGCAGGTGTCCAAGCACTGGCAGAAAGTGCCCAGAGAGGTGGTGGAGTCTCCATCCTTGGAGATACCCAAGCGCCACATGGATGTGGTCATGGACAACGGGCTCTGGGTGGTCCTGCTTGAGCAGGGGGTTGCCCCAGATGACCCCCAGAGGTCCCTTCCAGCCCCCAACTAGTCTGTGATCCTGGGGGACAAACGCTGCAGGGGTGTCACTTCTCCTTCCCTCCCACCTGACCCGTCTCTGTCACCCTTGCAGGAGGTGTCTACAAGAAGATCGGCTACTACGACAGCACCAAGGACAACCTGTCCTGGTACAACAACGACAAGTGGATCGGTGAGCAGCGCCGCGTGTGGGGTGTGAGCAGGGGGGTCACTGCCACGGGGAAGGGTTGGGAAGACCATTAGGTTGCCCCCTAATTGTGCCATGGGGTCTGCAGGAGGTGCCCCTCCAGCCGACTACACCAAGGTCATCACCACCTTCCGATTCCTGTCCCAGAAGCTCTTCATTTCCGTCTCGGTGCTGGCCTCGTTGGGCATCCTCCTGGCCATCATCTGCCTGGCCTTCAACATCTACAACGGGCACGTCCGGTCAGTGATCCTCCCCGTTTTCCCGCAGTTTGGGGAAATATCACCCCTTTCCTTTGCCAGAGCTGCTAAAAAAAAGCTCAGCAGCGCGTGGGTAGCAACACCCAGAAGGAAAAAACGAGATTGTACACTCCCGTGTCCTTCTCCAGAAGATGACAGTGACAAAACGTTGCCGTTAGTAGATATCCCAGTTGCCCACCTCGCTGCGTAGGAGCTTCGGGTGATATCAAGGGTCTGGTTGTAGCACGCGGTTTCCTGTTATCTCGCTTCGTGTCCCCATTTTCTCGCGTCCCGTTGCGTTAGCTGAACATCGTGCCCCACAAATAGCTGAGCACGGTGGCCGGCTGACACCCTGTCTTCTCAACAACCCTCCCCCAGGTACATCCAGAACTCACAGCCGTACCTGAACAACATGACGGCTGTGGGCTGCACGCTGGCGCTCGCTGCCGTCTTCCCCCTGGGACTCGACGGGTACCACATCGGGCCGGGGCTTTTCCCTTTTGTCTGTCAGGTATGGGGCTGGAGGAGTGTTGGGGGGTACAGGCGGCGCGGGGACAACCAGGGGGTGGGGACAGCCAGAGGAAGAACAGTTGGAGATACAGCCAGGGGATGGAGACAGTTGGAGGAGGAACGGCTGGAGACACAGCCAGGGATGGGGACAGCTGGAAAAGGAACAGCTGGAGACACAGCCAGGAGTGGGGACAACTGGAGGAACAGGTGGAGATACAGCCTGGGATGGGGACAACTGCAGGAGGAACAGTTGGAGATACAGCCAGGGATGGGGACAATTGGAAAAGGAACAGCTGGAGATACAGCCAGGAGTGGGGACAACTGGAGGAGGAACAGTTGGAGATACAGCCAGGGACGGGGACAACTGGAGGAGGAACAGCTGGAGATACAGCCAGGAGATGGGACAGTTGGAGGGCGTACAGTCGGGAGTAGAGCTATGGACTTCCAAACGACTTGGTCAAGGGAGGTCCATGGGAGGGGTTGCACCCCGTGGGGGTGCAGCGGAGCTGGGTACAGCTGGATGAGGAGGTACAACCGTCTCTTCCCAACCCACGTACCCTCCCCAGGCCCGGCTGTGGCTCCTGGGGCTGGGGTTCAGCCTGGCGTACGGCAGCATGTTCACCAAGATCTGGTGGGTCCACACCGTCTTCACCAAGAAGGAGGAGAAGAAGGAGAAGAGGAAGGTGAGGGGTGACCCAGCGGGGTGTGGGGAG